TGGTGGTGGCACATGCCTTTAATCCCAGCACACAGGAAGCAGAGGCAGGCGGATCTCTGTGAGTTCCAAGGCCAGCCTGGTCTACAAGACTAGTTTCAGTACAACCTCCAAAGCCACAGAGAAACCCTGTCTCGAAAAATCAAAAAAAGAGAAAGGGGGGGGGGGTTGTTCCTTAGGGCCCTTCCCTAACCTTTAGGGCAAGCTTAGTTGCCTCCCCTCCCCACCACCACCAGTTCATAAACACATAAACTGGACAGGCTTGTTTGAAAGCTTCTAACAGAAATCCAGTCTTTCTGGGAGAAAAGGCTCTCAACTATCCCTCCCTGGTCTGAGTTGAGTTCAAGTATCTACAGACATCATGTAATAAAGGCTCTCACAGACTCTCAAGTCAAAGGCATTTACCCTCCAACCACATCAAGTTATTAACCTCAGTCTCAGGACTCCCGATGAACTAGAATGATGCCCCTATCACTTGGCCTTAAAAATAGAGCAGTTGTACACAAGTCTGTGACACCAGAGGACAAAAAAGCCAGCACACTTTAGATATGCCATAGAGTCCAAGTGCTAATAACATTTAGAAAATGTGCCTGAGTAAATACAAAGTTTGCAAGTGTCTCACATCTGGTGGGCAGTGTGGTCCTCAAGCTTCAAACACCTGCAAGATTACGTTTTCCAGGGTCTCCTGACCATTACCCTAGCCCATCCTTCACAGAACCACACTGCCTTTAAAAAGAAAAGAAAAAAAAAAAAACCCTATCTCAGCTACCCAAGAAGGGACACACTATAACTGCAACACTTCGGAAGGCTCAGGCAGGAGCACAAGTCTGAGGCCTGTCTGTGTAAACAGTAAGACCTTATCTCAAACAACAAAATAGGCTGGCAAGACAGGGTAAGGTTGCCTGCTGCCAAACCTGACAATCTGAGTTCAATCTCTGGAAGGCACATGGAAAGCATCAACAGCTCCCACAAGCAGCAAACACACATAACAAATAAATAAGTGCAATTAAAAAAGAAAAAGAAAATCCCTCAGCTCTGCCAACAAGAACCTAGCATGGGTGCTGGCCATGGTATGCCACACCTTTAATCCCAATACTTAGAAGAGGCAAGTGGAGCTTTGTGAGTTCCAAGATAACCAAGGCTATCACACTGAGAAACCCTGTCATGAAAAACAAAAACAAAAAATCCTACCATGGTATTCAGAGCCCTCCTCTAGCCTACAAATGGCCCCTCCCACTATGTCTGTCCCACCACATTATGCTTGTGCCAACCCTCTTATAATCACAGATGTACATTCTAGCTGTCTGATCTTAGACATGGGCGTAAGGTGGAGAGAGTCATCACTGCCCAGATTGCATGCAAAGTGAACTGCAGACCAGGAACACTGAGACTTTCTAAGCAAGTCCAGTCACCCATCCTCCAAACTGACCTGCAGGGGCCTAGCTTTAGCCAAGGAGCCTCTTCAAGAAGGAATACTTCTCTCCAGCCCACACCCTTCTAGTAATCAGGCTCAGGAGACAGTGGCCTTCAATCCTACTGGACAAGAGTAAGGATGGGTCAACAGACCATCCAAAAGGAGCAGAGACATGAGTCCCCTAGGTGAACTGAACTTTATTCCTTCTCACTCCTCTAAAATTCCAAAAAAATAATCCCTTTTTAGGAGCTGCTGATCAGAAGGTATTCCTTGGCTCTGCTCAGAGAAGCCCACATTCACAAATGTCTTACTTTCTTCCTGAATGACTTTCGCTTAATCTTAGGGCTTAAAATCTGTATTAAAACTTCTCAGAGCCTTTAATCCCAGTACTCAGGATTCAGAAGCAGGTGGATCTCTGTGAATTCCTGGTCTACCTAGTGAGTTTCAGGACAGCCAGGGCTAGAGATCCCTCTTAAAAAAAAAAAAAAAAAAAAAAAAAATTCACAGGAGGCAGGTGGATTTCTGTGACTTCCAGACCAACTACAGCTATAAAGACCTTGTTTTCATTGTTTTAACCTTATGTGCAAGGACCCTATTAATGTTTAGTGCCTCCGGAGGACCAGAGAGCAGACTCCATGCTCCATGAAACAGGGTTATAGATAATTATCTGTGAGCTACCTGGTCCTCTGAAAGAGCAACCAGCACTCTTAACCTCTGAAACATCCTCCAACCTTTTGTGTTTATTGAGCTTGTTTGTTTGTGTTGGGGGTTTTTTGTTTTTCAAAACAGGGTTTCTTTGTGTAGATCTGGCTGTCCTGGAACTCACTCTGTAGACCAGGCCTGAACCCGAATTCGCAAAGATCTGCCTGCCTCTGCCTCCTAGGATTAGAGTGCTAGAAGTAAAGGCATATACCACCACAGCCTGGCTTATCAACATTTGTTTTTTATTATTTAAAAAAAAAAAAAAAAAAAAGATAGTCATGTAGTCATGGTGGCACATGTCATTCATCCTAGCACTCTGGAGACAGAGGCAGGTGGATCTCTGGGTTCTAGGCCAGCCTGGTCTACAGAGTGAAGTCCAGGCCAGCCAAGGCTAACAGTGAGACCATCTTTCTTTAAAAAAAAAAAAATAATAATAATAATAATAACTTTCTTGGGCCAGAGAGATGGCTCAGTGGGTAAAAGTGCTTGCTGACTAGCCTCACGACTTCACTTTGATCCCCAGGACCCATATGGTGGAAAAAGAGAACCAATACCAAAAAGAAAGGTGTCCCTCTGACCTCTAGCAGAGTATCTATCTACATACATTCATACAAAAAGATGAGTAAAAGTAACATCTCTTAACAACTCCAACTCTGGTTAAAAGGGGAGACTAACCCCACCCCCTCAAGCCTGACCTTGATAGGCAATAAAGGCTCCTAGGATGATTGCACAGCTCAATAATCCCTACAGCTCAATAATGCAAAACCCTGTTGCTCTCCATCCACAACAGCTGACTACAAGTGGATCAGAGGCTGTGCTTATTAACAAAATGAGAAATCTGATCTGTGGAAAGAAACCACTATGTGAAGATTAATCTAGGATTGCAGCTTTCTGGAAGAGGCTAGGCTGTTGGCCAAGAACAGGAAGTGAGGAAGGCATCCTACCTACCTGTCCTCAGAGGAGGTACTCTGTAGCAGAATGGGATACATTGCCTCTGCCCACCTGTACCTTGTCCTGTTCCAGCAATTACAGCAAATCATTTTGGCTCTGCTTTAATTCAAGGCAGGGCTCCCTCAAGCTTTTCCCTCTATGCTATGCTAAGCCAGCAATCAGAGAATATTTTACTTTTCAGGAATCGCTCATAAAAGCTCAGTGACTAATATACAAGTTCCAACAGCTGGCAGGAAAACACTGCAGGAAGGAATTCTGGGCACACAACAGCACTCAAACAGCCAGAGAAGCTGGTCAACAAGCACTCTCCAATACCTTACAACTAGCCCTCAGAAAGCCAGGAGCCAAGCAGAAAGCTGAGCAAACATCGCTGACCCCACTCACTGTAAGCAGGTGGGCAATGCAAATACTCTTCTCAACTTTTCTGGAAAACTCCATTAAAACTTTAGCTGCTCAGGACAGAAAGATCACCTGCAGGCAACATGACTTCTTGCTAGCCACCCATTTGTCTCTAGAGGCCAGCCAGCCTGAGGCTGGCCCATCTGCTTTATTTCAGACTACTTCGGAAGCCCTGCTCCACCCAGCACACTTTTCTCCTTGAGCCTGGGCTACAGAATGGTCACATAGCCTCAGATCCTAAAAATGTCTGTTCGAAAGCCACAATTCCAGATACAGGCAGATAAGGACAAGGGAGAGGCAAAGCCTCAGAAGCAATAATAAATTCGGTACCCCTCTAGGATTTGGCTCCATCCCTCCATCCTGTGTCTGAAACAGGAAGTCCCAAGTTAAGTCTGGAAGGTGAAACCCTCCACTACATAACCGATTTCCCTGCCCTAGGAGTAAAAGACATAGCTAACCAACCCCAGAAACAATCCACAGCCACAGGATTCCTATAGGCAAGGAGTTGCCCCTCCCCCACCACCACATATGTCAGTGGGGGTGGCCTCTCCGTGTTACACCCCTCCTGCTGTTTGGGAGTAAGGGGCCTGGAGCACAGCTTTCCAAATGCGCCTGACAATTATAACTAGAAAAGACACTGTGAAGAGGGGACAGAAGACATAAGTAAATAACTTCTAAATCTCTCCGGCCAGCCGAGATCAGCACTGGACTCTCGTCTCCAGGCAGTCCAAAACTGTTCTGGGTGGGGCTGCTGAGAGTATTATCTGGTCTCAATCCCTCCAAGTACGTTAAGTCAGTGCCCCCCTGGGAGAGGCATTTCCCCCAGCACACACACCCAGGCCTGTGTGCCTATGAACCATTTTGGAAGATAAACAGAGAATGACAAGCTAGGGCCCCTCAGCTCACTCCCTGAGCCAGCCAGTCCCTTCCTCTTGCCACCCGACCCCCTCCCCCCAAGCCCATCTCTCTTCCTGCCAGGCGGCTGCCTACAGCAAAGGTCTGGGGGCAGGGCAAAAAGCCCACCCAGCCACGGAGCCGAACCCTCCATGCCCGTCCGTGTCCCTGCCACGGCCAGTCTCCGGGCCAAGATGGGGACCGGAGGAAAAGGACAGCAGACCGTACACAAGCGCAGTTCTGGAAATCGTAAAACGTTCCAGCGAGGGGCAGCCGCAGGCTCACAGCCGTTTGCATAATGGGAGTCCGCCCGCCTGTCAGGCAGCACAGCTCGCCCGACGCCGTTCGGATTAGATTGCTAATGAAAAGGCACAAAGAGCCGGAGCCCGCTACCCCGTCCACACCCGCACCACAGACTCGCGCCCCAGGACTGGCGTGGCCCTGGGAGCTTTGTGCCCAGAGTCCCATGCTGTCCGCAACCAGCCGGGCACCTGGGCCACAAAGCCCCCGCCCGTCCGGGGTCCCGCGTGCGCCTCGGTTGGGTACTAGGGGCCGTGCGCGCGCTTCGTCCCACGCGCGCCCACGCCCCCCTCTGCGGGAGCGCGCCCGGCCCGCGCCCCCCTCACTCGAGGACACCGCTTACCTCATGTGCCTGCCAGCGGCCCCTACTCTTCGGCGCCCGGCCTGCGCCGCACGCACACGCCCTATCCGCCCGCCGCCGGCCCCGCTCGGCTCCCCGCCCAGCGCGCCCAGAGCGCCGCTCACAGCCGCCCGCTCCGCGCCATCTTGGAAGCCTGTGACGTCAGCTCCACCCGCTCACCCCTGACCCACATCTGAATGGGCGAGCAATGGGGCGGGCCTAGAGGCGGACCCTCGTGGAGGCGGAGTCTGATGGTGGGCGGGGCCGATGAGAGGTCTGAGTCCAGGGAGGGCCGGTGGCTGCTGGACAGCATGATGGGGGAGGGGCGCACGGGAGGCCCCGGGAGCCCTAACCCGGACGCCGACCGGATCCCGACCCAGGCGCCAGAAATGGTCGACAGCAACCTCATCTCCAAATACTTGACCTGTACGCATTGAAGAGCAATGACCCTGTTCTCTATCACAGGTCTATGGCTAGCCCCCAAACGGAAGACTGCCCTTTTCTGAGCCTGACCCTGACCCTTCAGAACACCATCTCCACCTACCGGATCAGGTGGCCTGCGCCTCGCCTTTTCGATCCCTTTGAGTTCCTAGGTCTTCAGCTACGCAGAATAGCCCAACACATCAAAAAGAATAAGGTTTAGTCCCCAAAGACTGCTGGGTCCACGGTCTGGGATGTAGGAAGGCTTGCATGGTTCTGATTTTAAAGAGAAACCCAGCCAGGCGTTGGTGGTGCATGGCTTTAATCCCAGCACTCGGGAGGCAGAGGCAGGCAATCTCTATGAGTTCGAAGCCAGCCTGGTCTACAGAGTTGAGTTCCAGGACAGGTTCCAAAGCAATACAGATAAACCCTGTCTCGAAACACCAGAGAGAGAAGCTCAGAAGTCCTAACCCTAAATGCCTCTTGGGGTCCTTGTGCCCACACCCAGGAAAGTCAGTCGCTCACAGGGCCCAAAGGTCCCTGGACATCCTTTGCTTATCCAGAGTCTTCTGGTGACTGCAGTAGGTACTAGGGTCAAAAGGCATCCCAGTAAGACCCAAAGGCTTGTGACCATCTAAATGTATTGGGGCTCACATATATGTCCTTACATATTAAAGCTACTACTGTGGGTTATACCAGCCAAAAAGTAGAACACAATGTCTAAGCAATGCCTAGAAATGATAAGACAATAATAGATTTGAAATGGGTGAAGTGGCGCATGTCTAGAACTCTGAAAGCTGAAACAGGCAGGTCTCTGTGAATTAGAACCAGTCTGATTTACATAGTGAGTTCTGGGTCAAGGTACAGAGATTTGCTGCCTCTCCCTCCTAAGTGCTGGAATTAAAGGCATGCTCCATCACTGCCTGGTCTGATCACATGGTTTTTGTCTTTCAATCTGCTTTTACTGATTTATATATGTCTAACCATCCTTGCATTTCTGGGATGAAGCCCACTTGATTGAAATGGATGATCTTTTTGATGTGTTCTTGGAATCAGTTTGCAAGGTTTTTTTGTTTTGTTTTGGTTTGGTTTGAGGTGCTGGAATTAAAGGCTTGCGCCACCACCACCCGGCTCAGTTTGCAAGTATTTTATTGACAGATTTTGCATCTATGTTCATTAAGGAAATTGATCTGTAATTCTCTTTCTATGTTAGGTCTTTGTATGATTTAGGTATCAGGGTAAGAGTGTCTTTTTAAAAAGAATTAGGAAATGTCCTTCCAGTTTCTATTTTATAAATTTGATGAAGAATATTCATGTCCATTCTTCTCTGAAAGTCTGGTAGAATTCTGCATTGAATCCTTCTGGCCCTGGACATTTTTGTTGGAAAACTTTTAACTACTGCCTGGTTTTTATTTATACATATATACATACGCATATAAATGTATGTGTGCCACTGTTTACAATAGCCAAGAATCAGGTTAAGCAGCTAAATGGATAATGAAATCTTGATATGTGGAGGAAATGGCTCAGTTGGTAAAGGGACTGATGTGTAGGATTGAAGACCTGTGCCTGAATCCTCAGCACCTAGGTATAAAGGTGGGCATGGGGCATAGTCTGTAACTCTAACAAGTGAGAGCAGATGGCTGGATAACCTAGCACCACACTGGCCAGCCACTCTAGCTGAATCCATGAGCTCCAAGTTCAGTGACAGACCCTGTCTTAAAAATAAATTAATAAAATAGAAATCGATAAAGGAAGACACTTCTAACCTGTACACCCATGTGAATGCACAAATACCCAGAAGCACATATACACACACCCACACAAACATACACACATAAGAATTCATGGTAAGCTAGTTGTATATCTAGAACATGTCATTCTGGAGGCAGAGGCGCTCAATCTCTCCAGGAGTGAAACCAACTAACTACAATGAGCACCAGGGCAACTAAGGGTTGTCTCAGAGAGAGACAGAAGGGAAGGAAATACACACACACACACACACACACACACACACACACACACACACACACGACTATTAAATAATCATAAAGAAAAATTAGTCCTTATTTGAGGTGAGGCAGGTGACTCAGTTTGAGGGCAACCTGGTCTACAGAGTTCAGGACAGCCAGAGTTACACAGAGAAACCCTGTCTTTTTTTATTTTTTTATTATTTGGTTTTTTGAAACAGGGCTTTTCTGTGTGGCCCTGGCCACTAACTGTCCTGGAACGCACTCCTGCCTCCTGAGTGCTGGGATTAAAGGCATGTGCCACCACCATCCGGCATTGATACTCTCTCTTGAAAAAACAAACAAAAAAATGTCATTATGATGTTTTATATTGATTTTCAACTTGACAGGATCTACAGACAAGGTGGTGACTGAAAATGAACTATCCATGTCACATTAATTACAACAGGAAACCCATGTTAATAATGTGCTGGACTCTGACATTCGTTGCTCTCTGCTTCCTGACTGTGGATATGACCTGACTAAGCTGCCCCATGTTTCTGACACCATGACATCCCTGCTACAGTGCCCAAATAAAACCGTTTTTCCTTAAGTTCTTTGTGTCACAATAGTTCACTACAGCAACAGGAAAAGTAACTAGCACATTCATATTAATTTTAAAAAATTATACAGGAAGGAATTATACACTGACAATAACAGATTGATTAATAGTGCACACAAAGCGGCCACTCTTGTGTGTTTATTTAGTGACTTTTGTTTGAGGCTCAAGCTAGCCTCAAATTTTCCATCTAGGATGGTTAATCTTGAACTACTCGTGATCCCTATGCCTCAGTATCCTAGGAGATTCCTCGTATATTTTAAGAGATGTCTCCAGCTCAGTGGTCAATACGCACTGTTCCTTGTAGAGCAGTGGTTCTCAGCCTTCCTAATTCTGTGACCCTTTAATATAGGTCCTCATGATGTGGTGATTCCAACCATAAAATTTTCATTGCTATTTCATAACTGTAATTTTGCTACTGTTATGAATCATAATGTAAATATCTGATATACAGGATGGTCTTTGGCAACCCCTGTGATAGGGTCCTTCCACCCCAAAAGGCCACAGCTTGAGAGCTGCCATTGTAGAGGATGCAAGTTTGGTTCCCAACACCCATAGCAGGTGACACACAACCACTTGTAACTTGGCTCCAGCTGATCCTTTAGTTTCCACAATGGGCAGTTATATTCGGGTTTACACCATCACCCCTTATACATGTAAAAAAAGAAAAAAAAAAAAGAAAAGAAAATCTGATTAAAAAAGGAAGCATCTCCACGGGCAGTGGTGGTGCAAGTCTTTAATCCCAGCACTCAGGAGGCAGAGGCAGGCGGATCTCTTTGAGTTTGAAACCAGCCTGGTCTACAGAGTGACTTCCAGGACAGCCTACAAAGCCACAGAGAAACCCTGACTCAAAAAACCAAAGGAAAAAAAAAAAAAAAAAAAAAAAAAAAAAAAAGGAAGTGTCTCCCTAGTCTAGTCCTGACTTCTATAACTCGTGTTTATCTTGTCTTTTTTGTTTGTTTGTTTGTTTGGTTGGTTGGTTGGTTGGTTTTGGGTTTTTGAGACAGGGTTTCTCTGTATTGTTTTGGTGGCTAGCTCCTGTAGACCAGGCTGGTCTCAAACTGCCTGTCTCTGCCTCCTGAGTGCTGGGACTAAGTGTTTATCCTGTCTTAATGTCTTGAGGAGCTGGAACAGCAAATGTGTGACACTGCCAGATATACAAATAATGTTTACCATATTTGCTTTTTAAAATAAAGTCTCCTGTAGTTCAGGCTGACCATGAACTCCCTAGGTAACCAAAGATGTCTTTAAACTCCTGATTGGCTTTCTCTATCTCTCAAGAGCTAGGATTACAGGTATGAGCCTTGAGTTTGACTACAAATGGTGTTCATAAGGACTTTTTAATGATATGTGAGTGTTCTATTTTTCAAGGGCATGTAAAAATGTTTATCAAGGGAAAAATGCTTACGTCATCACAGAGGTGACACTGGAACCCTCCATGCTTGTTTGCATAATGGTTGCACTAGTTTATCTTTTACCACTAATGAATAAGAGTCCCTCTTTCATTGGGCAGTGGTGGCGCACGCCTTTAATCCCAGCACTTGGGTAGCAGAGGTAGGAAGATTTTTGTGAGTTAAAGGCCAGCCTGGTCTACTGGTCTACAAAGTCTACAAAATGAGTTCCAGTATTGCCAGGGCTACACAGGGAGAAATCCAGTCTGGAAAACCTAAAAGAGAAAGAGAGAGAGAGAGAAAACTCTTCCTCAAAAGACAGTTCCTCTTTCTTTATATGCAACCTAGCATTTTAAAAAAGATTTATGTGTATGGGTATTTTTTGCATGCATTGCATGTATGTCTGCACACCATGGTTGTCTTTGTCCTGGAAGGCTAGAAGAAAGAGTTATCTCCCCCTTGAAGTGAAGTCACAGAGGGACTCTGGTCCTCTCATAGAACAGTCTGTGCTTTTAACTGCTGAGTGAGCCCTCTCTCCAGGGCCTCCTAGTCTTCATCTCTTTCTTGATGAAAGCCATTTGACTGTCATGAGATAAAATCTCAATGCATTGTGCCGTGCATCAGTGCCACACATGCCTTTAGTCCCAGCACATGGGAGGTGGAGCTCTGTGAGTTCGAGGCCAGCCTGTTGTGCTGAGTGAGTTCTAGGACAGCCTCCAAAGCTACAGAGAAAGAAACCCTGTTTCGAAAAAGAAAAGAAAAAAAAAAAAACAAACAAACAAAC